AAACTAACCGGAGAAATTAAATAAAAATTAAATAAAATTTAATTGAAATAGCTTGAAATTTTTTGAAACTTACCAAACTTTATTTATTGCGTATAGGCATTACGCACTCGACATATCGTTTTTTGTATTAAATTCAGTTTCCATTAATTCTGTATCGATGTTTATTAAAAACAGACAGTTTCTATGTATTATTTAGGTTTTTAAGCGGATTTAATCACTTGATTAAAAATATTGATCTTTAACACAATTAATATAGCTATAAGTAATGTATATAAGTTCTTTTTCAATACTTACGCTCACTTTTATACTTAGTTGTAATTGTACTAAGTACATTTATTATAAATTATAGTATAGGTAAATGTTAAGTAGTATATAGTAAAAATTATGCAATGCAATTACAATGCAGAAAGTAATATATTATTTTTATTTGTAATGTTAGACTTGTTTCATTTACGGCGTACATACATAATACATAGCCTGAGTATTTATTTTTAATGTACTGCAATAATACAAAAGATATGGCGAAAACGCTAATGTATATACAGGGTGTCCGGTTTCCGATGTCCGATACTTTAAGGGGTTAAAATACAATTAATTTTATCGACAAATCAGGGATCAATGATTTTTTTTCGCCATCAATAAAAAAATGGCAGCACTTTAAAAAAAATTGTTGGCGAAGCATAGATGCTTGTATTAATTTGACAATATCTACCCAAGTAGAAGACTTTCAAAAACAAAATTGGTCTCAAATGTTAGTTAATAGTGTAGACAATAAATCTAGATTCAAAATATTATTTTTTAATTTTTCAGTATTAGTAAAAAACATTTTTGAAAAAATAAATTAGACAACAAATTGATGTTGTTTTTCAGATTCTTAGCTTTAAAAAAAAACCATCGTGTTAACCAATTTTTTTTACTTGTTTTTATTATAATACAGGATATTTGCTATAAATGCACATTTAAATCTTAACTCCGAGTTAGATAGTTTAGGAGCTATGATAATTTGAATGTAACTGTTCAAAGTGCCTCTACCCCGATATTAGATAACTAAACACCCATTCCAGTGAGTAAGATAAAATTCTTCAATAATTCAAGGAATCGTAAGCAAGCACAATAGCATCCTTTGAGTGAGCAGGTAAAAAACGCTGTGCACAACAGTGCGAGCGAGACAGAATAACGGCTGTCTCCAGGTAAAAAGGGTGCAGTGTGCGCTTGTGCCGTCGACCAGTCGTCCCTCGCTCTGCGTTGTGATAACATTCCTGGTTTTAAGTAAATCTACTTACTGTACATAATTATTGTTTGTTGTTAGACTTTGTTACGTTTTTGTTTTGTTGTTGAACTGTTACTTTTTGTTTATTACAATGAACGAGTATCCATTTCGTGTATGGATTGTGTAACGGGAGTGCAAATAGAGCTGTTGTAGAGTATGCACGCAGATTTCCTAACAGACGTACGCCGAATGCTCGCACTTTCGTGAGAATTCATTTGAGACTTGCGGAAAATGGAATAAGAAGGCTCGGTAACGAACGTATTCGTGTTTTGTCGCTCCAAGATGAACATCAAATATTGCAAATGATTACTCAAGACCCTAGCCTGAGCATTAGACGCATAGCTAATCGTCTCAGTCTATCAAAATGGTCGGTGTGGAAAATTTTAAAAAGAGAAGGATTACATCCTTACCATTTTCGAAGGGTGCAAGAAATACTGGAACCGGATTATGTAAGAAGAGCAATATTTTGTTCGTGGATATTGAGAGAAACGCGATATAATCCAAACTTTTTAAAAAGAATTATGTGGACAGACGAAGCTACTTTCACGCGATCAGGGTATACGAACTACCGTAACGAACACCTGTGGCTTCAAGAAAATCCACATGCGATCCGCCCAAGTTCTTTTCAACATAAATTTTCTGTCAACGTTTGGGCCGGAATGATTGACGACATTCTAATCAGGGTTTCCGATACTTTTTTTGCCGCCAGGCGGTGCTTCGTATGCGTCAGGTCCAAACAGCTGTCAGATAGCACAGATTCCTACCGAACGTATTATTTTTTTTAGTGAAATTTTATGTATTTGGAAGAGTTATTGATTTTATTATGGATTACGACCAAAGAAAGGTTGCCGAACTGAAAATTGAGCTCAAAAAGAGAGGCGCAAAAGTCACTGGTACTAAAGAAAAGCTCATTGAAAGGTAAACATAATCTACTTCTATTTGTTTCCACAATTTGATTGTTTTTTTTTTAACTACTAAATTGAAGTTATTTGTGTTTTAGTGAGTTGTTGTTGATTAATGTATATTATATATTCCAGGCTAAATGACTATGACAGAAACAACAACTTCAAATCAAATGAAAATGATAATTCTCATCTCTTAAGTGAGATTAATTATGTAATAGAATGGCCAGAAGAAAAGTTATACAAAAGTGTAGATTCAAAAACAGTTTTACCCAATTTTGACATTATTAACATAAATACGTATTTCCTTGAATTGTATAAAGACGGCATAGGAATGTCAGATTATTCTGCAGTGCACAGAAGAGGTTATAATATGCTGCAAAATAACTACCTACTCGCATTAGTGACCGCAAATACTAGTACACATATATTTTTCAAAGGTCAAGTCCATTCTGAAAATACAAAAGCCCTCACTTATTTTGCTTCCATTGCCATATGTAATGGAAGTGGATCTATTATACAATCGGTGTGTGAATGTGTAGCAGGGAAAGGACCAAAAGCCATTTGCAAGCATGTGTCAGTTTTGTGCTATGCTATACTCAAATTCCGAGAGCAGAATATATGGTTAATTAAAATGACTCCAACACAAAAAAAACAAGTATGGCATGTACCTAAAAAAAATAAACTTGATGTTTCGCCGAAAAAAGCAGAGAACCTTTCATATGAAATAGCAGAATATAATGTTTGCAAAAAAAAAGAAAAGAAGTGTGTGCTATGATCCAAGACCACAGTCCTTTATCAGTCAGGGAAAAGAATGGGCTACAACAGTTAGAAATAAAGTCATTAACTACTGCTCATTGTCACAAAAAAAGAATAGGATTATGTGGAATTTTGGACAGTGCAAACATGCAAGATGTGATACATGACCATGATTACCTACCTTTTCCTTTACATCATCAACTTATTCTTAATAAAATATCTGTAAGCCATTTATTCCAGATGAATTTATTTATTATAGTAGCTACGACTTGTACAATCTTATTGACTGTACTGTAGCAAGCGAGGTGGTGAATCATGAGAAGTTGTAGCTACTATATTTTTTTATTATTTAGTATATTATGTAATCATCAATATTAATTGCACTTGCATAGGGATTGTAGATGTTTGTTTAGGTTTATACTTTCATACTTTCCTTATCCTTTGCCCCTAACAGGTTACACCTGACTCAGCAAAGGAAATTGAAAAGAAAACTAAAAATCAGACGAAGACAAAGTTATGGCATACAGAACGATCTTTTCGAGTGACTGCTTCAAGAGTCGGTGAGATTTGTAAATTTACTGCTAAAAAGGACCAAGAAAAGTATGCACAAAGCCTTATATGTAATAAGAAAATAGTAAGCACGGCCTTAGAATGGGGCAAGTCTATGGAAACCACAGCAATTGAAGCATATGAGGGGAAAACTGGAAAAAAAGTAGAACGCTGTGGTTTATATGTTTCTGTGCAGTACCCTTTCATTGGCGCTTCTCCTGATGGATTAATTGGAGATAACAAAATTTTAGAAGTTAAATGTCCATATTCCATAAAGGATGAAATGATTGGATCCAACAATTATTTCCATTTAGAGCATGATTTGCAACTGAAAGAAACAAGCAACTATTATTACCAAATCCAAACGCAGTTACTTGTCACAGGAAGAGATTGTTGTGATTTATTTATATGGACTAATGTTGATGAAAAAATAATAAATGTTAAAAAAAATGATTCATTTATACAAAATATTATAATCCCTCGAGTAAAAGCTTTCTTTTTTCAATTTATGTTGCCAAAGATAGCAAAAAATATGTATGATTGTTAATATATTTTTATAGTATATTGTAAGATTCTATGTGATAGAAATTAGAACAAAGTTTAATTTTGTATTCTTGTTATTATTTAATAAAGTATGTTTAATACAGTACTGTTAAAAGCGACATCAATTAAATAAAATTGAAAAAAACATATTTTACTTTATAATATTATTTTTGAAATTGGTTAACATAAAACATACAAATATTATTCTATCTGCTAAAGGCACCAATTTTGAATCCAACTTGCCGCTTAAGATCTTAAAAGTTTTAGCCAAACCAATGACCCTTTCAACGTGTATCCGTTCTGAAGATATATTTTTTGACCTTGTCAGTTGAGAAGTCTCAAATTGTCCATCAGTATTTTTTAAAAATTCTGGCACATTAACTGTAACATCTTTATGGCACACTAGGTCTTGTACATTAAAGCCACGGTCACTAAAAATGATATCATTAGGTTCAAGTTTATCAATAAGTCCACATTTTTCAAACAATTCACGATCACTCGTAGATCCACCATATGCATCGGATACAAATGTAACGCAGCCTGATGCTGAAATCCCAATTAAAACTTTTAGAGTATTTGCTGATTTGTAAGTGGAATATGTAAGCTGTTGTGTAAGTGGATTTTTGGGCTTCTCTATTTTTATTTCCGTGCAATCTACTATCACAGTGCATGGATTAATCTTGCCATAGTATTTCATATTTTTATCTATGCATTGTTTTGGCACCCAAACATTTAACTCTTTCAATTTACAATATAAGTAATTGATCCATGTTATGAAAATGTTACTTAGTACCGTTTTATTAATCTTCGATCGAAAGGCGAGTTCTGTAAATAGCATGTTCCGGCGTAATTTAATTAACACTAGAAGGAATTGATCACAAGGGTTTAGAAACGGCACCTTCAATGTTTTCAGTTGAGGATAATATTTTAAACAATTTACTTCATCTCCAAAAATACTAAATATGAATTTGATATGTTCATAATCTTGGAAACCAGTATAAAACTGTACTTCGGCCGCATTGGTTATCTAGCACATTTGCAATTGAAGATTTTTTATTTTTATTTTCATTTTGAAGACATTCTTTAAGTGTTTTGAGATTATCACTTCCACATAAATCACATTGGATACCAACATCATTCTGTTTCTTCTCGAATTCAATTTCTACTTCGAAAAAGTTTGTAGTTTCCATGAGGAAGGTGTCATCCTTCTCTTTTTCATTGTTTATGTGTACTTGGACACTAATTTTCCTTTCATTTCGCGCCAAACGCCTTTGATGCCGCTCCTTCTTTTTTTGATGCAAACTAGAATTTTGGTCAATCCATGGGAATCGACTTGGCACTGCACATTTTTTCAACACAGGCCTGGCTGGAATAATAATTCAATAAATATAATGTCATAATGAAATCATTTTTGATAAGGCAAGTACTAAAAAACGTTTACACTACATCATTGAAGGTTAGTCGCGCACAGATATAATCAAGGTGACTTAACTGAAGCTTATCATTATAAATAAGTACAAAATATTCTTACGTTTTTCTAATACTGAGTCCTTCGGTAGCTGGTAATCATCCTTTGTGAAGTGGCTTTTGCAAACGAGGCTATTTTTCGTTGGAGTAAATTTATCTCTGCGAATGGCTACAAGCCACTGTTTTAATCGGTTTTTATCTTCTGTAGGGAACTTATGCCCTCCTTTTTTATTTGCACACATAGGCACTGCACAACACTGTGGCATTTTGGAAAACAATATTCTGTTTGTAACGTTTTTAAGGATAAATAAACCAAAAAAATGATCGAAAAATATAAATCGTGTAAGTGTTTTGACAGGTAGTTGGACCTGACACTACAGCGCTGCCATCTCACGGGGAACATTTCAGAAAACCCTCATTGGACCAATCATTTTACCGGAGACAATGAATAGCCCAAGATTCCTAAATTTCCTGGAAACGAATTTTTTGGATGCTTTATTGGAGTTACCATTGGCCTACAGGGCCAGAATGATTCTGCAATTGGATGGTGCTCCGGCACACTTCGCGCTTCTTGTGCGGAATCATTTAAATGCACACTATTCGTCGTGGATCGGACGCGGAGGAACAATTGCTTGGCCACCGCGGTCGCCGGATTTAACACCTCTCGATTTTTTTTGTGGGGCACACTCAAACGAAGAGTGTATGTAAATGTGCCAAATACACGAGAGGAGTTAGCAGAAAAAATAATTCAAGCAGCAAACGAATTGCGAGAAGACAAGGCAATGATCCAGCGCTCTACGCAACACGTTGCACTAAGAGCAACAGCATGTCTGCAGAGACAAGGAGGTCACTTTGAGCAGTTTTTGTAATTATTTTGCCAAATTAAATGCAATTGATATAAATTATTTTGTTTTATTTCATTTGCTAGTGTATCCGCGCTTTTCAAGTAAGTATGTTTACACTGTCATAGCTCCTAAACTATCTAACTCAGAGTTAAGATTTAAATGTGCATTTATAGCAAATATCCTGTATTATAATAAAAACAAGTAAAAAAAAATTGGTTAACACGATGGTTTTTTTTAAAGCTAAGAATCTGAAAAACAACATCAATTTGTTGTCTAATTTATTTTTTCAAAAATGTTTTTTACTAATACTGAAAAATTAAAAAAAATAATATTTTGAATCTAGATTTATTGTCTACACTATTAACTAACATTTGAGACCAATTTTGTTTTTGAAAGTCTTCTACTTGGGTAGATATTGTTAAATTAATACAAGCATCTATGCTTCGCCAACAATTTTTTTAAAGTGCTGACATTTTTTTATTGATGGCGAAAAAAAATCATTGATCCCTGATTTGTCGATAAAATTAATTGTATTTTAACCCCTTAAAGTATCGGACATCGGAAACCGGACACATTGTATAACGTAATGTGTAAGCTCTTTAAACTTCGATAACAGATTTCGAGTGTTTTAGTTCATTTTTAAGCGAGATCGTAGGTACCAAAAGTAAAATAAAACGTCCTTTTATATTATTTACAATTAAAAAAAAACTAAGAAGTAAGAGTAAGAGTATCAAGAACGTCACTAAATGGATATACTTAGCCTTTGTCTAAGCCTACTTCGACTTAATGTAGTGATTACATTTTTTTTTTTACTTTGGAAAGAATAGAATGGTGTTATATTATTTTCTTGCCCAAACCGGAGAGGAATTGTAGGAAACGTTTATTAGTTGCCATTGAGAGCAATGCATTAACATTGTTACATGCCTTTAGTCCTTGTAGAAAAACAAATCCATTAATATAGATATTTTGGGGCCCATCTATAAAACGAATAACAGTAATAACATACCAGTCTAGTTCCTGGGCTCGGTAACGGTGGATGTGTGAACCTTACGTAAGTTTACTTTGATTTTCTATCCGTAAATAGATGGCGCTGTAATTTGTAATAATGCCATCTGTTAGTGAGTAGACTATGTTACGTTTATTGTGAAAAAATACAATGCAATGATATGAATTGTTTGTGTTTAAATCCAAGAATAGCAATGTCATGAATAATTTTATTTCTTGTAAATGAAGAAAATTTAAAACATGATTACTTTTTAAAATAATATTAATGTATATTTTTGAATATAGATACAATCAATATTTGCTTAAGGAACCGTATCCGCGACTCGTCGCTGCCAGTGATAAAGAGGATTCTTTTTTTTTTCTTAAAGACTGAGTAAAGCCATTTAGCGAAGAAACGCAGCCATCATTCTTGGTGCTAAACCTCAGGGAAGTACGAGTTGCCGTAGTTGCCAAGTTTGGCAGCCGTAGTTTTTTATTATTGAGTTGGTATCAGGAAGATGCTGCTGCTCATCTTTACATTCTCCCTGTTTCCTCTTACGACAACCACTGGACCTTATTAATATTAAGTGTGTATTATATAAGTGCATATTAATAATGTATACTTATGTACTAGTCATTAAAAAAACTAAATGCTTACTCTTACATAACTTCTTATAGTTGTCTGACTGCTGCAGAAAATATCCGGATAATATGCGCCACTGCTTTGTTATACCAACGAAATGGTTCAGTACGAGTGTTTTAAGGGACATACTAACATATTTTAAAAAATTACACACTACATTATACTTATAACCATGTCGTTTGCGCTAGACGTAAATTAGATGCCTAGTTTTATGTTATATAGGTATCTTAGACCGCTAAAGGCGAGCGACGTCAAGGGTGCAAGACCAGATTATGTACTTTCAGCGATCGCCAATTCGCCCGCCATGTGTCCATTCTCGATTAAGGCACAGAACCACTGAATAAAAATGATAGGTTGTGCCAAATCCAACCTAACAGGGGAGGCTCGTAACCAGTAATAGACTTCTATGGGTAGATGATGAGATGGTGATGATGATACCTATAATAGTAACGTTGGCTCTGTAGCGCTGATGTTTAGAATTTACTTGGGGCGTTGAGAGTCGCGGGTTCGAATCCCACACATCCACAAGTATTTGCCTACAAATAATTATTCCGGTCTGGACGTTTATGCTTGTGCAATATATGTACTTATAAACTTCCTAAACTGCAAACAAGAGTAAATTTCAGTGTATGGGGTAGCATTATTCAAAAAAATACAATTCAATAGCTAGTTAAGTAAAAACAAGTTGTATACTAAAAAAAAGTTTATTATTAGGCATTCACATAATTGAGACAAAGTGGGTATTTCATACCAGTATTTAATACATATTTATTTCTAGTATTTACTACTGTATACACAACAAGTGCAGCCTAAAAAGAACGCAGCTTATTTAAATTTATGTGCGTTTTGTACATTCATTACACAAATGAAAAGTAAAATAATATCAGTACAATAAAATTTTCGCTACACACTATTATTTTGCGTTTTAGTTTATGATCGTGAAATTTAAAAAAGAAGTTAAAAAATTGTGAATAAAAATACTGATATAATCTAATATAATAATATATAAACTAATCAGATATTAGGCTATATAGGCGACATTTATTTGCGCCCGCTACGGTAGCGGGCTAGCGGATGTAGATCGTAGAATATAGAACCGCGCTGGCCGTGTTCTGCAATCGAATGCCTGGTGACTTCACTAGCAATTGCTACAATGCAGGTAACCCGCAATGCGCCCGCTCGACTTGCAATCATCTCCTGCCAAATTTGCTTGCGTTACCGCTTCCAAGGCGGGCATAACACAGGCACAGAATAAATAATAGTACTAACGAGGTCTCGTGAGTTTCAAAATAAAATAGAAGTTTCTATACATCAAACATGCCTCCAATTGTTATTAGCATACCAACAAGATGTTTTCTTTATAATTTCGAAATAGAATTCATGTAATTACAATTTTACCGGATTTTTAAGTACTGATTATTAATATACTTTAATGTGTTTACTTAAGATTACTAATTTAATTTTTAGACAAATTAAATTGCATAAATGGTGATCTTTCCTTCTTACTTTATTAAACGTTATTCATTGTTGACAGAGTTCTTATAAAAAAATTAACGCGAATGTTACATCATTACATGTTCCAAAATACCAAAAACTTTTTTTTAACATTAAGTGAAAAAAGGTAACAAAAGAACTCCTAACTAAACTATTTCAGAGAAAGTAGCATCCTATTTTAATAATAAAGACAACTAAATGTCTCTGTCTCACTCTAAAAACGCCGCGGTTCACGTTCGCTGATCATAAAAACGTGTGTTGTGTCAGTCAAGGTTTTATTTTATGGATGGAAAATATAAAACGAAGAGAACAAAACTTCAAATGCTTCAGTGTTATTAACATTTTAATCTAAAGTAGTCAATTTAATAGTATTGTTTAAAAAGTTAAGGCGAAGGCGAAGTGCTGTAACTTCTATCATATAATATTATAAAGGACTATTTTATTGTAAAAACTGGACGTTACTCTATTTCACATTATTAGTATTTTATACTTTATAATGATCACTTCGATTTTTAAAAATACCGCGTTATTACAAAAACCTCTAGGTTATTAGAATAAACTGGATTCGTATAAACAGGAACATAGTAGAAATGAATATCAAAATCAAATAGTTGAAGTTTGAAGTATGACAACATGGAATCGACCCGAAAAATTATAAATGCTGCCCTAATTAGTAAATAATAAATAATATAAAACTATTATTTTCGATAAAACGATAATTAGCAATATCGGTACCAACTTCAAACTCAATTATCGATTTAAATACATTAAAACAAATAAACAGTAGTATGGACACCCTTCGTATTTTAAAGTCAGATAAAGTTATTTAAATATAACTATAGGTAGTACAGTAATATATGTGGCTAGGTAACATAATTATTAAATTATACTTTGTTATAACAAAGAACAACAAGGAAGTGAACTAACAGCTTACACATATTAACTGGCGTGCAAAGGCTATCCTGTTTCTGAGAGGATTGGAAGTTGGGAGCAAGGAAAGGTCCACCGCGCTATCCTGGTGTTGGCTCCACACCAAGAATTCTTTCATTAGCAAAATCACCGTCGATCAGCATTTTGAATTTCAATAAGACACGAGTATTTTACAATAACTGAATATTATCTTAATCTAAGTAATAAATATTTAGTAAATAACGCTTACAAAAGTGAGAAGAGGCCTGTCTCTATGTATAGGACGCAGGTAGGCAGTAACTTTAATAAATATTTGCTAACGATAATTACACAATAATGTAATCTCTTTTAGATTCTTGAAGTGAAATATGAATTAATAGTTAAAAATACTATTACTTAACCCCTAAAACTTTATGTTATACCTAGATTATAAAACGTAATTTTTTGATTAATTATAAATTAAACGTTAAATTTAAAAAATGCACATAATGAGTACTAAATCCAAACGCATGTTTAAAAATTTTGTGACGTGTCTAAATGCATTTAAATGTTGTTAGATTTAAATTAATTATATTAGTTCAACACATTCAAAGTTTATTAATTAAATATTTTACTGAAACATAAAAATCCTGTATTGATAGACCATGTTATAAACCATTATACCATGTTAAATGTATTATAATTTCGATCGTTTACAGAGCATTGTAATTCCATAGCACATTAATGAAATTGCAAAATTCGAGTTGTATGATAAAGTAAAATATATTAATAATTGAATGAACCTGTCACTATCACTTACATAATAATAGCATCATTTTATTTATTTCATTCATTTTACATATTTACACTTTACATCCGTGGATTACTCAGTTTACATTAGGTTTAAGTAACTTAATACTGTATTGATTTATTTAAAGAATCACTTAATACTTATTTATTTGATTCCATATAGTGTTTAGTATTATCTTTTTAATCATGAGCGCTGTTAACTAATTTTAGAGAAGACACTCATGGTGGTATCAGTTTTGAACGACTTCCGAGAGCGTTGGAGCGGCTGTTTCATTGAATGGAATTGTATACCAAGTTTTTAGAGGGGTACAGAGGCAGTAGATTTTCTAGGCGTACTACAAAGTGACAATCACTTTGATGGCAATGAAGTTACGCGAATTAGGCATTTTCATAATATTATTTTGCTAGAAAAAATTGTTGTCTACTAGATTTTTAGTCTATGCCAGCGACGTCTCCACCTTTTCTGAAGTCGGCGTTGGCGTAAATACCGGTTTTATTCCTGAACAGCGCACAAATAATTGATCCTCTCCCCCGGTAGCGCACCATTCCGTGCCCTTTTGCTTTAAGGCCCTGAACAACGTCCTGGAAATAAGTTTAATTACGATTGTTAAAATAATTTCGATCAAAAAATTAAGGGATGATGGCAAAATATTCTTTCATTCTTTTATTACACCCCAAGAAAAATCCACTGCCAAACATAGGGCTCCCAGATTGCTTTATAAAGGGATATTTGCCATAGCGGATTGGCGACCGTAGATTTTTATTATTGTTATGAGTTTTTATCAGGTAGATGTCGCTGTCCATTACATGTTATAGTTTACATCTGTCGCCGCTTACGACACGGGATGATATGGGTTAGTGCCCTCTATTACACGGCCGCTACACTATGGTAGAAATGGAACATCTTACCTCATTTATATAAATATTACTTCAGCCTCCTAATAGAAGTTCTTGCTCTGTTATTTTATGTTTTTAAGCTATTGCATAGCTTTTATCGCGGGCCTTGAGCGCGGGGACCGAATCCAGAAATTCCGTAACGAAAAAAAACCTCACGCTCCCCACTCCGACGGGCACGGAGGTGTGGCGTTGAAAGCCGTGCATCGTCTAACGTCGTTTCAGTTCGGCAGACTTCGGCACTCGGCAGACTTCGGCACGGTGTTTGTGTGCGTGCGACTAGACGTATGCGTGTACACTAGCTGCTAACTCAATGATAAAAATTCCTGAATAACCTACATGTATTCTAAGATATTAAAAATATTTTAAACAATATTAACTTCTCATTTATTCAATAAGAGAAAAAATTGTTTTCTTATCGGTCACCACGCTCAAAAAGTGTAACTTGATTTAATATCAAAGACTTAACTGCATAAATAAAATAAATAAACAATTATAATTGCATAAGTTGATAAAAAATGCTATGCAATAGCTTTACCGCGGCAGTCACCGAGTACCACACGTATTTTTTATTATATTACGTTTTTTTAGAATATGGGTGACGAACGAGCTTACAGTCCACGTGATGGTACGTGGATGCTGTTTCCCATAGACATCAACATTTATTCCAGATTAGGAGTCAAAATGCAGATACGTTGTCACCCGTGAGAACTAAGATGGAATGCCACTTTTCAGTAAAAAGGGTCTCCGGTACTCTACACTCACCATATGAAACACAGCAGCATTGCGATGCTACTTTACGCTGGTATTCTGTGAGAGCGTGCTCCTGCCCCGGTCGCATTCGTGCTACAACTATTTTAGCTGCAGCGTGGCTCTAACTCGTATATGGAGGGTATAGAGAAGTATAATCACAGACTGTGAAGCATTCCATCTTATTCCTCAGAGGTGATAACGCATCTGTGACCTTCATTGAAGTTGGTGGCAGATATACATGGGCTACAGCAGCAACTTACCATCAAGTGGACCTTAAGGTCGTTTTTCACTTTAAATTTATTTAAAAAAAGAACAAAAATTGCACATGGACGAACACCAGATCCGCAACAGTTATTTTAGGCCATACAAGAACGTGTTTTGTGAACCCGCGGTTAGCAGTTGAGTCCGCGGTTAGGACATCGACAACCATATTCATAGCCACTGCGTAATCGAACAGTCGTACAAAAGTGATTGGACTAGTGGCTGTAGTAGTGTGAGTGATGATCATGAGGTCCTTGGTTCGAATTGCGGGTCAGGATAAAAAATTATTCACTTTTTCTGTCAAGAAATTCTCAGTAGCTGTCCGTAGTCAGGAAGTTGGCGGTGTCTCACCCCCGTGCCTCGTAAAACACCTAAAGCCGTTGGTCCTGCGCCTGATCTCTCTCCGGTCGTGTCGGTTTACCGTCTCATCGGATTACGAGAGTGAGGGAATAGAGAGTGCACCTGTGCTTGCGCGTACACTTGGGCACTATAATCCTGTCCTGATGTCTAGTGATGTCCCGATGGCTAGTCTCCGTTGAGGCTGGCTGCCGTGACCGAAATTCGGTCTGGAGGACATTATACTTATCACAAAAAGACAAAAATCATCTTACCTCGGTTATGCCGTATTCATACTCTGCGTGCATAGGAAATATTTGGTGATGGAACCGGGCCTCATCCACTGCTTCCTTTATTGTTTGGTCAAACCAGAGCTTACGAATTGTCACCTAAAATATGACACTAATATTAGCAATAGCCACGGGAATAGTATAAAGAATTTAAGTTTAGATCGCATGGTTGAACATAGTAGGTACGAGGGCGGCGCTGAAAATTTCGGGAATCAAGGAAGTGACACAACATTACGATTTAAAAATGTATTTATTGCTTTTCGAAGTATTCTCCGCGAAATTTGACATATTTTTCCATACCATGGAACCAATCATTGAAGCAACCATTACATTCGGAAGTTGCGGTCTCCAAAATGTCCAAAACTCCAAAATTTTAGGGAAAGTATAGAAATCATTAGGGCTTAGGTCGGGGCGGTACGGCGGGTGGTCTAATAATTCTATGTTTTCTTGCTTTAAAAACTCTTTTGTTCTGTGTGCGGTGTGACAACTCGCATTGTCGTGATGGAGGATGATGCGGCGGTTGCAGTTCTCTTTACGGAGTTCAGAAACGACCTGTGGCAAACAAATGCTAGCATACCATTCTGCATTAACCGTTCGTTGTCCCTCAAGAGGAATAGGCGTAACATGGCCGGTTTTGGAGACAAACGTGGCCACCATTTTTTTTGCAACACTCCGTGAACGAACAATTTTTGTTGGCTTTAACTCATTTTCGAACACCCAAACTCGTGACTGGTTTTTTGTTTCGGGTTCGTAAGCATATATCCAGGATTCGTCACCTGATACGATGTTGTATACAGCATTTGAGGATCCTGCGTGAAATCTTTCGAGAGTTCTGACGCACCAAGTAACGAGAGCTGCTATTTGCTCTATACAGAGCGAATGCGGTATCCATCGGGAAAACAACTTTTTTACATCTAATTGTTCATGTAAGATTATCTGTATTTGACTCATGCCAATGTCTAAAGTTGCCTGAATTTCGCGGTAAATCCAACAAATGTAATGAAAAAATATTCTTCGCTGAATAACACTTATTGTTTCAATAAAAATCCAAAAACAGTAAATGAGTAATCCATAGATATTTTAATTGTTTAGTTATTCAAATAAAGGGGCAAACGACTCTTAACATCAAAATAAGTCTTTACCTATGATATTATCGTTCCGCAGTACTGGGCATTTCAAATCAAAATAATTTTTGTTTGGCTAAGAATTCTATTTCAAATTCATTTGATTTTAAAAACATGTAATTCTTTTTTCAAAATTAGTTATTTGTTTACTGATTAGCGTTATGTTTTTATCGAATATGAATCTTTTTCGTCATCGTGAATACGTTAAAAATTCGAATAATTATTCGAATATTAATCAGTACCGTCGTCGCAAAAACGTGGCACAAGCTGCACGCAACATCAACGACGTTTACGGAACGAACACAATAAACGAACGCAACACCTGTTTTTTATTGGTTTGCTCGCTTCCGTTCTGGCAATTTTGACTTGAAAAAGGAACCCCGTGGTCGTCTGAAAATGTCATGAATGCTTTAAAAATTCGAGTAATTATGGAATATGAGTACTTTCGTGGCAACAACGCGATACAAGCGGCACGCAACATCAACGACGTTTACGGAGCGAACACTATAAACGAACGCATCACCTGTTTGTTATTGGGTTGCTCGCTTCCGTTCTAGAAATTTCGACTTGAAAAATGAACCCCGTGGTCGTCTGAAAACTTTGGTCGAGAATGACGAATTAAAGGCGATTGTGGAAGCTGATGATACTTAATCTACGGTTGAATTAGCATCTAAACCGTTTGCGTCAAATAGACAAGAGCAAAATTTCACAGACTGCAGACTTCCCGGAGCGTTGATGAACACGTACAGGATCGCCCCCGTCACTACATCAGATTTGATAGACCACAAATCCTCGCTAAAGAACACCGATTCCTTCCCAAAATGATTCGCGAGGCTATTGAATCAAAAAACATCCTAATTTCAATAGAGAAGATGGCTGGGTGCTACCATCTGCTTGGTATCCTATAATAAATAAAATTAAATCCCAACCCAAGCATAGAACTGCAAGACTTCAAGATACCATAAGTTCATACTGTGTAGATCGGAACAAAAGTAAAATTTTTATCTATGGTAACCGCGGTTAACTATGACATTTGGACGTTGAACATCTCAGTCCTCCCGTGACCATGGGTGCTGTAAAGCGCTCGAAACGTCGGGTATTTATAGTTAAATATACGCGATAAAATCCGTAAAAACTAGTATTATTCCATTTCAGTTTGTTTTGACTGTACAGATTTAGTGTGACTATAATTTACGTAGTTCTAATTATTTTTGGGATAAAAAATTACCTACATTAAAAATGATAGGAATCGATTCAGTAAACGATTCTGAACAAACTACTTTCTCAAAGTGCGATAATTATAATTATTTCTTATATTTACGCGAACACTATACATGATTAAAACTACTTTTACGGATTTTATCGCGTTTATTTTTACTTTTTATTTACTTTTAATTTTAATTGCCGACGTTTCGGGCGCTTTCCAGCACCCATGGTCACGGGTGCTGAAAAGCGCCCGAAACGTCGGGAATTAAAAATAAAAGTAAATAAAAAGTAAAAATAAACGCGATAAAATCCGTACAAGTAGTTTTAATCGTGCGTTAATTATGTTACGTGTTGTATAAGCGAAATACCACTGCCGGACTGACTTCATCACGAGATCTCTAAAACCATACACCCGATTGACTTGAAATTTTGTATAGTTACTCATTTCGTAATGTAGACGCACTCACTAAGAACGAATTTTAAGTATAATAAAAGAAACTTGATATTTTACATCTAGCTTCCGCAATGAAAATAAATATTATCGTGCGTCCAGCGAAGCGAGCGGGTATCAGCTAGTATTATATAAGTCAACGTTTAACGTTGAGGTAATAATTTATACGGGATATTTTAGGTCTTGATGTGACATATCAGGACCCAAAGTAGAAGAATGTTCACCATTTCTTTAGGCACCTTTCAAAAGCATTTAAGACTATACAAAAACTCTACTGTTTGCTGATACTTAAATTTTAACCGACTGCCTCATGTGTATTGCTTTGCCACGCTCTATAGCCTTGATTGATTTTAACATATGAGTTTCTTAACCGTTGAAGTGACATAGGCCAATATTTATATATTGCATTTGCAAACACAAAAAAGGGAGGGGAATGTATTATTCCAGTAAACTTTTAAACGCAATCGGGTTTTTTAATTACTGTTTTAAGTATTAAGGTCGTTTTATAACTAAAATAAAACATATTTTTTACCAAGGCGACGGCGGTAGTAATTTTGGTTCCCCCGGACGCACCAATCACCATCTTCGCATTACCACCTTTATCTACAATTATGCTAGGGTTCATTGAAGACATTGGTCTTTTGCCCGGCGCTATAAAATTAGCCGGTGATGGCTTCAGACCGAAATAATTGGTGATTCCCGGTGAAGAGAAGTCATCCATCACGTTGTTCATAACGATACCAGTGTTAAGTGTCGTGAAACCGGCGCCAAAACTGAAAAAAAAATCGGTTTATATCTTTTAAAAACACTTAAATTCATCGCATCGACTACATTAGCAGTTGACAGTATACATCGTCGTTACATTTTTTTAATAAGCACTTATAGATCATTAATTTATAGATATAAATACAATCGAATTGTTTGTCTATAATATGCAAAAAAGTGCCTTTTATCGAGCTCAGAGGGTTATATGTATGGTATGACTGTCTGCCTCTTCGTCGGTCTGTTTGTCTGGCCTGATCATCGGAGTGGCTGAACCCATTGTAATGATGGTATCTAATCCCCCGGCCACACACTCGTGGTGAGGCATGGGAAGTAGCGAGGAAAGGAGGCAGAGAAGTAGTGTGGCCACGATACTCGTCATGCCGCACGTCATGCTCCTTGTCATGCCCATCGCTCCCTGTTTAGTCGGTTTTTGGTCAACAACTAATTATGATAGCTAATTATACTAATGTCATAAAAAGAAATATGCATTGTCGTCGTCGAGAATCGAGATAGCTTTTTCTCTGTATATTATTTTCTCATAATAATGTGGCTGAATGATGATAATAGTTACAATATTTATGGTTTTTAAATGACACGTGGCATGCTTCCGTAACGAGCGCTTATATTGCTAGTCCTTTGACTCGCGCCCAAAAAACCAACAAAACGGGCATGATCAGGAGCATGACGTGCGACATGAGTATCGTGGCCACACAACGTTTCTGCCTCCTTTCCTCACTACTTCAATTGCCACTCGACGAGTGGGTGGCTGAGAGGTATGCTATATTTTATCCAAAAAACTTGGATATTGTTATGTGAAATTAAACATTTTGATAATTTTCATTGATGGTTACAATTTTAAAAAATCTAAATGACCCAATTTTAATAGGTCCCATGAGGTAAAGTCTAAGATAAATAATAATGTTTATTTCATCACGTAGACATTTTTACATTGTTTGTTGGATTTACGTCTTAACTTTCTTGGTTTGTTAAGTGATTCGCTCTTCCAAAATACTATGAATGTATATGTATATATGTGTGCATACCAGCGTAAAATAACACCTTAATGCCTGCCTTAGTGAGTGTAGAGAACCGGAGACTATTTATATTGGAAACGAGGCATTTCATCTTAGTCCTCACGGGTGACAACGCATCTGCATTTTGATTCGTAACTTAGAATAGATGTAGATGTCTATGGGCCGTAGCATCCACTTACCATCAGGTGGACTGTGTGCTCGTTTGTTACCCTTATTCTATAAAAAAATATAGAGAATGACACAATAAAAAAAAAAAAAAAAAAAAAATAAAAAATATAAAAAAATAAAAAAAAAAAAAAAAAATTTAAAAAAAAATTATTTAGATTATTTTATAATCAAATAATAAAATATTTAAAATTATTTAAAAACCCAAAAAAATAAAATAAAAAAAAAATTCCCCCCTCCCCCCCCTCCATCCCCCCATCTAATTATATTTTTAATCGAAGATAGAGGTCAATGTCAATGGGCCAGAGAATCCACTAGCTAGAACTTAACTTCACTTACTAGAGGTTGATGGAACTTGTGACGGAGACGGCGTCGCCGTTCTTGCCGATGATGGAGATGTGAGCAGTGCCGGCGTCCGGTTTGTTGTACTCGGTGGCGCCGTACACCGACGTGTCGTTGCTGGTGTACGAGTCGTTTATCCTCTGTCTTATTTCCGCAGCGTATTCCGGCGTCGTTATATTGTGGATCAGCTGTGAAGTCGATTGAGTTCGAATATCGTTATTGTATTCGGTAGGTACGTAAAAATTTACTGCGGGTACATTGGCCTATCTCGTTATATTGGATTTGATGATTGCAGTGCCAGACATCCTCGCTGCGGCACGTCGTTTGTGTATCTCACGTCTTACGTAAACGAGATGGTTATACCATACATATATACCATATATATTTTATATCTGATAGAGCCACGCTGCAGCTATATTATGGTTGTAGCACGATTGGATCAGCTCAACCGGGAAATGACCACGCTCTCACAGAATAACAGCGTAAAATAGCAGTTTCGTATGGTGAGTGTAGAGAACCAGACTTTTTTTTTTGGTAACTAGCCATTCCATCTTAGTCTACAGGGGTGACAACGCATCTGCGTTTTGATTTTTAATCGAGGATAAATGTAGATGTCTATGGGCCACAGTACCCACTTTACATCAGGTGGACTGTGTGCTCGTTTCCCTTATTGTATAAAAAAGCCATACATATATCGGAAACTATAATTATTTTATTGCAATTCTCATAGTTCCCTCTACGATATCCAAGGACCAAATTGGAGGGATAAATTCTTTTTCCCCAGCAACATACGACGAAGTTGGGTTATCATCTTTTTATTTAACAGGGATACTTGGTTTAAAATAGAGCTTAGGTGTAGAGCGCGAAATATATATTATTAGTAGGTATGTAAGTAAGCCAATCTTGTCACTGTTGTGACAAGATCGCAAAATATCAAAGACGAATGGAAAGGACAATTCTTAACATAAAATTGAAAGACAGAGTAAGCAACTTGGAATTAAGGAACAAAACAGAATTAATAGACGTTCTTCAACACGGTCAAAGGTTAAAATGGCGATGGGCAGGACATTTAGCAGGCATTTCAGACCAAAGATGGACTAAATCGGTGACAGAGTGGCAAGGACTAGCTGGAACACGTGCAAAAGGCAGGCCAAAAGAGAGATGGGTCGACGAGGTGATGGCTACAGCTGGGAAAAACTGGATGAACAAGGCACAGGACAGACAAGTGTGGGCAGCTCTGGAGGAGGCCTTTACCCGAAGAGGGGTCCTCAAATAACAGGTATAATAAGTTAAAATTATAAATATACTTAAAATAATAAATAAGTACTAAAAATAGTTACGAATCTATTTAAAAAAAATTAATAAGATCTATATTGTAAGAAAATATTATTTAAAAGAAAATACTTATAATATAAATCTGTGAAACTAAAATTTCAAAATTGTTTTATATAAAAATAAAATTATCTAAATAAAAGCAAATTAATGGAAAATGAAATTTCCAATTGAATGAAATTCTAATATTATAATAATTCATGTACTTAGTTATTTAAATTGATTTTTGTAACAAATTTATTCAGTGTAATGAAATTTCCAATTAAATATAATTCTTACATTATAGTAATGCATGTACTTAAAGTTATTAAATTGATTTTGAGTGTAAATGAAATTTTCAAATGGAATGTAAGTCTAATATTTATAATAATGCATGCACTTAAGCTATTAAAAATGAATTTCTAACGAATTTACTAAGTGTAAAAAATGAGGAATAAAAAGGCTATTTTATTTTATTTATTTTTAAGTAAGCCAATTGTGTGTAGAAGTGAAAAAATCTTACTTAGTTCTAACGAACAAAAAGGCCTGCCTGTCAACAAAGGTAGTAGTAGTATATTTGTCGCAGTCTGATCGTTTCATCGGTCGCTTAATAGTCGGATAGGCTCAAAAGACGGCAATTAAACTCATTTAAATTAAATCCAAACCTATGTAAACCATCCGTATAAAAGTGTCCGGCCGTACAAGGGCTCAGAAATGTTAAAACGTATGCCTGTACATTTTTAAACAAATAAATATATAAAATAAAAACTCATTTCTTTATTGCATATTGTATATAAAACTAACTATAATAACCAATAATCATTGAGTACATTTAGATGAGTTCGTTTGGTTTTGCGACTTAAATCTTGCTGGTAAGGTAGGTAGCTAATGTGTGGCAGTTATAATTACGTGGTAGTGTTACTCGACTACGTTTAATTTAGTTTACAAGACCGTGAGTATACAAAATTACAGAAAAAACTAAATCCCACGGCACAGACTTGCTTTCTTTTCCGGAATCCACTTGCCGTCGGATTTCGCAAAGCCTACGGTATCGATTACCTAAAAATATAATGAAAATAAAGTTTCTGTAGGAGCATACTTACATCTTTCAAATCTAAGAAATCAAGGTCACCCAATTTAGTTCTTGTAGCGTACGCGTATTTAAAAGTTTCTAATATCCGATGGTAGGTAAGAATTTTGTGGTCGCTGCCGTTGATGCTGTCCGCAGTGAAGTTGTACCCGCTGAGTACGTTCAGGATGTTCACTAATATCACGCCGCTGCTAGGCGGTGGCGGGGTGTACAGAATGTCTCCGCTACTGAGGGGCACCGCGAGCGGTTCTGTTATCTTTGCTCTGGAATCAACATTATGCAAGTTAGTACGTGAGAAATTAAAAAAAAATTGAATCGATCAATCAGTGGTGCACGGAGCAAACGTGTTCAAAATTATAATTACTGGTATATTTCATTAACGATATAAAAATAGTAAAACCAGAGTGACCGACATAGCCCAACGGATTAGTAAGCTGAAGTGGCAATGGGCCGGCCATATAGCTCGAAGAACCGATAACCGATGGGGAAGAAAGGTTCTCGAGTGGCAGCCTCGTACCGGTAGGCGTAGTGTAGGGCGACCCCCCACTAGATGGAGTGACGACCTGGTAAGATATGCAGGAAGTCGATGGATGCAGGTGGCTCTGGACCGTGCCTTGTGGCATTACTTGGGGGAGGCCTATGTTCAGCAGTGGACTTGTGAAGGGCTGTAATGATGATGATGATGATGATATAAAAATTATTTTATATCAAATTCGATATAATTGTCCGGTGATTTTGATACTGTATTCGAGCCTTCATCCTAATAATCTTATAGCACAAACGCACGTCTGGTACAAGTGAGTTGACAAAAAAAAAATCAAACGGATATAATATCAATTCGTAATCAGTTCTAAATTATTTTGAAAGGACAGAGTTGTCAATTACTTTGCAGCACCGATCACTGTCACTTTCAATTTTATAACTGTTTTTTTGCTAAATGAAATCTAAATCCAAGCCTACCATTGAAGGATATCAAGATACCAACTGTAAGTTGTTTCTTCTTTCTGTGTAAATCGAACCAAAACTTTTTTATTATTTAATAATGTAAAAACCGACTTCAAATAGCTAAAAAAGAAGTTATTTATTTGCAAATCTTAGGTATGGAACGTTTTCCACAAATTTATATGAGTCCAGCCTATTTAAGAAAAAAAATCAGTTAAATCAGTTCTATATCTGCGAAGATATCTTATGAAATGCCTTAAACAATAGTCCAATATAAAACTTTATCCCCTATTTTCCACTCTCGAGGGCGGATTTTTCCTTCAAAATTTAATGGGACCACTCTTGAGGTAAAGCCATAGAATACTATGATTCACAATAGAATGGCTGCCAACGTTATTTTGTACGACGATAGGCGTCGCCGGGAGCCTTCGATCAACGTATTGTTGATCGAAGCCGGGAACACACATACAACCAATTACGTCGTATTATCAGTTAATCACTACTACAAACCCGATTCGCTGTGTTGACAGACGGATTTTAATACATATTTATTTGTAAATAGTGTGCAATTTGGCATTTTCTAAATAATTTGCATGCGAAATTTAGAAACGATTGTAACGTCAAACCACATCTCGTGTTGACATTTATATGTGTGAATTGACGTGTTAGTGGCATTTTAGTGGCTACATGGGCTCCGCCCACTCCCCCGTTCTATTGTGTATGTATTATAGTATTGAGACTTATTAAAATCGGTTCACAATCTGCGAATATATCGCGTAACATACATACATACAAAAATACATAGGTACACTCGAATTGAGAACCTCCTCCTTCTAAAAGTCGATTAAAAGTGAAGATAGCCCTGGTTAAATATGATATTAGGACTTTGGAATATCTACTTATCAATTCAACTTCCTGATAATAAAGTAATATTTAGGCGTAGATGTACACATTTAAACTTGATAAACATTAGCCATTAACGACTTCCGCCATTATTATAAAAAGTAGTTTAAATTAGACTGGTTTAAACTGGAATGTGTTCACCAAACAAGTCCTGCACAAAATATGCGAAATATGCGAATTATTAAGTAAAGTATGAAGTTTGTCAGTAAACTTCAAATTCCGCAAAGACCGACGCGGCAGCAAAGGGACTTCTTTAGTTAGAAAGACTTCATAAACCAAATTTAAAAACAATCCTATTAATAAACCACTTTGAGTTATAACTATTGGCTAAATTGACTGCCACGTTGGTCTAGTGGTTGTAGTAGTGCGACTGCCGATCATGAGGTCCTTGGTTCGAATCTCGGGTCGGGCCAAAAAATCAATTATTGAGTTTTTCCGTCAAAAAGTCTCATTTGCTACCCGGAGTCAGGAAGTTGGCGGTGTCTCACCCCCGTGCCTCGGAAAGCAAGTAAAGCCATTGGTCCTGCGCCTGATCTTCCCTCCGGTCGTGTCGGTTTACCGTCCCGTCGGATTATCGGAGTGTGGGAATAGAGAGTGCACCGGTGCTTGCGCATACACTTGGGCACTATAATCCTGTCCCGCTCCGATGGCTAGTTTCCGTTAAGGCTTGCCGCCGTGACCGAAATTCGGTCTGGAGGACATTATTATTAGACTATATTTTTATCTCTAATTCAACTGTCGCGCTTTTTATATGAACTGTGATTGGAAATCAATGACAAGTAAGTTTTACGGAAATAATTGTTTCCATCATGAATGTAAAATTGAGAAAAGGAAGAAGCAGTTAGTTAATTTAAAAAAAATTATTTTAATATGAATCTAAATTGCTCAGACTCCAATCATTAGTTTAAAAGTAAGGTGGAAGGTAAGATGGTTATATCATTAATGGCCAAAGCAAAGAGCAATAACAAATATACATGGAAAAATACATTCATATTTATATTGAGTACATACAGATATAAAGATTTAAAGTAAATGTGTACTTTTTTTCTTCGGAATTTCTCAAAAGTACTATATTTTTGCTTCCTTTTTGGAAAAAATTATATACTTATTCAAAAAAGGTGGCAACTCTAATTATAAGTGATGAAGCCGAAATGGTGAAGGTTACTGCATTAAGCTTAACAAAAGCATATTTACTCTTGCCTTGAAGACACCCAACACTACACTCGGATGGAAAGACAGATGTTGGGATCAGGAGTGATAACTGATTAAGCATCTGCTTTTGTTTCTAATTCGAGAACAATCTATTCTCGAATTAGGAACAAAAGCAAATGTTTAATCAGTTATCACTCCTGATCCCAGCATGTCTTTCCCTCCGAGTGCAATGTGGGTGTCTTCAAGGCAAGAATAAATATGCTTCCGATACTCCCCCCACTCGGACAGCAGTTAGATAACTCAAGAACCACCACAGAGGCGACATGATTGGTGGTAACAATACAAAATTATAAACCATATCGACGACATATCGAATGAGCAGTATGCTCTTTTTACCCCATCTCCTATACAAAACCACCATCATCCTCATCACCATTGCCTTTCCATTTTTAATTAGCCCTGAATCAGATGACGCTCTAAGAGTAGTATAGGCTAACAGCACCACCATCACAGAATATAGACTATAAGCGATAAGGTATGCTATGTGTTCGTATGTCACCAACGACCTTCTTTATAAAGTACAAAATGTTTGGCTGTTACAGTGTTAGCATCAAAAATAATAATAGGTAGCCTTAATACACGATTCTACTCTGTTCTGATGTTTTTACGATAGTGATTATATTTATCGCGGCATACTTTTTGTTGGCTAAGTAACGTTTGTCCCAGATTTTAACCAGACGAAGAATTTCTGCACTACATGAGAAGTATTCAACAAGGTTACGTTCAATATAGATGAGTTTACACAGATTTTTTTATGTTATAGATTCTTTCTTTAGAACCTCATAAAATAAGTGGTAAAATTAAACATTTTGTAAAACCGACATCTAAATAGACAAAATGCGAACATCATCACTGTAGTCTAAGTCAATCAATTACGCATTATTACTGATAAGTCAAAAATAACTGGTTAGACCTTGATCAAATTTATATGGGACCACATGAGAAGTATCAGCTTACAAATAAAAAAAGAATCATCAAAATCAGTTCCCGTAGAAAAAAAGTTACGAGGTTACTTCCCCCCATTTTTAAAGTCGGTTAATAAAAAACAGATTTTAGATTTAGGTAATGTTTATAGTAGAATTAATAATTCCAAAATAAAACATTTAACTCTGCACAATTACATACACAGACTGGCGGAGAGTATCCTCTTTTCCATACTGTCTCCTGGGTGTCGTAAGAGATGACTGAGGGATACAAACTAGGACATGGGCAGCACCGGCTGCATAATAACAAGAAAATAAAAATACTACGGTTGCGAACACAGAACTTACCTGCAGCGTGCTACATAGATGTCTATGATCGGGATTTACCTCGTGATAAACTTAGAAATGCGGATATCCGCAGTAGAACCAGAGTAACCGATATAATCCAACGGATTAGTAAGCTGAAGTGGCAATGGGTCGGACATATAGCTCGAACTCGAAGAACCGACAACGGTTGGGGAAGAAAGGTTCTCGAGTGGCAGCCTCGTACCGGTAGGCGAAGTGTTGGGCGGCCTCCCACTAGATGGAGTGACGATCTGGTAAGTCATACAGGAAGTAGATGGATGCAGGTGGTTCAGAGCCGTGCTTTGTGGCATTCCTTGGAGAGCCTATGTTTCGCAGTGGATGTGTGAGGGGCTGTAATGACGATGATAAATTCAATCTATGGAGTATGCCTGGAGGAGGAATAGAATGCAAAAAAAATTATTTAGAAATAAATATGTAATGAGTTATGACGTTATATCTGTGTCAATTGACATTAAAGTTAAACGAAAGCGTTGGCAATTAATAGAAATGCCACTTGATTTGATATCAAGTGACCCCTGTATATTTCCACAATAAACACAACAAACTTTGTGATTAAAATGTGTCGTATGATGAACTAATATTATCGCTTTTACCTTTGTGTTATTTTTATTTTATTATCTGCGTTCAATACTTACGTCATGATATTTTTTCATTTTATTATCTACATTCATTACTTACGTCATAGTATTTTTTTATTTCATTACATTTTATGGTCGCCACACATAGTCAGTTCAACTAATCATTCCAACTAATCAGTTCAAACTAAAACTGTTGATATTGTTTTAAATATTGGATTTTCGATATATCGATAAATAAACTTATATATATATATATATATATATATACACAAAAAAAAAAAAAAAAAAAAAAAAAACACCCTAAAAACCTCATTCCCCCCCCCTTCCCTTTTTTTTTTA